GTGGGCGGACCCGGCAAGAAGGCGGGAGGCAAGACGCAGGAGGCCGACGCCCTACAGGCCTGGGAACGGACCCTGATTGATAACCTGCTCAACTTTGCCACTACCCCCAAGGTAGATGCCCTGAGCTGTCCGCTTTGTACATGGAAATAATGTTTTGAAATCATTGCCACTTCCTTTTGAATTCCATTGGGCAAGATTTGTTCGAGGGTTTCTTCTCAAGTCACTCTTAGGACTTCCGGCTCGTTTCGTTTGGTTGGGTCTCATCTGTGGGTATTGTCGGCTCAGAGGAGGAACCTGTACATGGCCCCATTTGTTATACTCACAATAGCCAGGCAAGTATTAACCATGGCACCAGACTTCATCTTGTGTGCTGTACGTGTGAGGTTTCAAAACGAAGAGCTGATTTTGCTGTCTCTAAGGCAGTTAAAACGAAATTCCCATGAAAATTTGTGGGATCCTGTCATGTGAGGCAGTGAATTCTGACTAGGCAAGAATGGAGCTTCAACCTGATTGGAAAACTAATGCTTCCTTGTTCCCAGGGCCTTCACTTGCTGCAGCAAACCGGAGCTATCAACGAGTGCATAGCCTACATGTACAACCGATCAGCTAAAAAACTCCAGGTAAATATCCCAGAATTCTTTTACAACATGTGTAAGGGCAAAACCTTTTATTTAAAAACCTCAGAATTCTTGGCATCCCAATTCTGTCGTTTGTTCTGACTGTATATTTGTCAAACTGAGCAGTTTTGGAAAACGGACCTCCACGTAGGGGGCACATTCAATAACACAAGATTATGCACACTATCAAATATGAAGATATAAATGATATTCCATTATCGCAATACTGTACTGCTGAATGCACTACAGAGTGCTGCAATGTTGTTCAATGTCCTTGGAGCGAATACAGAAAAGAACTCACTGTCAGGAGGAATGATGGCCTCTGAAGACCTTATAGTGGTAATCCTTGAATGCAGAGTTGTTAGAACAGTTGTGGGGGACATTATCAGCAATATGGCCATTGAAGTACACCATACGTGCATACATTGATGTGAATGCTACCGTTGACCAAATACACCATTGCCAATTAAATCTTTTGTTTTGCTGCGTGCAACCTCTGGGAGGCCATACTGTTCAGGATCTTGCCAAGAAACAAAACATGACTCAAAGGCATTACTGGTCTGAAGAGTAAATTTAAGTTATTTATTGATTGTTTCTAAGTGGTTAGAATGCCTGAGACCTAAATGTCGTTCTTGTTGGTTTTTCTCCGTTTTATATTTTAGTACGTACACATTCAAATGACAGCTTTAGTCAGAGTAACCTTTTTGGGCGTCCATTTTTTTAGGTCAGCAAAACAGAGAAGTTTGGCTATGGCAGCATGGTGACTCAAGTGGCTGCCACAGCACCAGGCATTGTGGCCCTGCAGAGAACAGGTACCAGACCTTTCCAAAAGCTCTTTTCACATTTCATCACATGTCTTTGTAGTAGCTGCAGCAGATATTGCAACAGATTTTTAAGGAGCAATATGGGCGATTCACAATAGTGCGCCACCAAGAGTTTGCAACGCGTTGGCCAATCATAACGCACGAAATTTGTCTACCCTTTCCAATCGCGCATTGGGTCGACAAATTTCGCGCATTGTGATTGGCCAACGCGTTGCAAACTCTTGGTGGCGCACTATTGTGAATCGCCCGTATTCCATTACAAAATATACTTGGCCCATTATGCTTTTAAGTAACTTGTTAAATATTTCCAAATAGGTCATTTGGGAGACATTTTGTGGTAAATTTTTCAACATTAGGGAGACATCGGTCATTAGGGCGACATTTCAATGTCTTTCTAATGCTCCCTAATGCATTTTGAGAGATGATAGATTAGGGTCTAAAAGGAAAACATGCAAAGTTTGGTTAAGATCGGATTAGGGAATATTGAATTATGGGACGGTAAAGTTTGAAAATTTTTGTGCACGTTCCTACGGGAATGTCTCCCAAGTGACCCATTTTCGGTAATAATAATTTATGTTTGTATCTTTTGCAGCCTACTCACTGGATGTTTTCACAAGTTGATTTCTGGTTCCCAAAGAAGATTTAATAAATTCCGTCCATTTTCCCTCACAGTGCAGCTCACAATCGTTAACTCTAAATTCAATTCTTATCAAAGTTGTGTAGGTTTCAACATGTTTTTGGATGTCCATTTGGGAAATCTCATCCACGCTATTTCTCTGTGTTGATTATGAGTCATTCCATGCATTCTGCTCTGTCGAAAGACACAGATTGTTTAGTATTGAGCGGGGTTAATTTATTTTTGAATATTTTTGATGGGCTTAGTGTTTCCGTGTGTTTGTGCCCAGGTTTCATCCAAGCTGTGGTCCACGGTCTGTGGTCAGTGCTGGAGTGCGGCAGTGATGGTCAGCCTATGATCAGACCCAACCCCATCCCAGTCGAGCCGATTGACCGCATGGCCCACAAGGTATGGTCCAAATCCACAACACAGGAATGAGTCCCAGTGCCTATGAAGGCTCTCTGTCCTCAAGATCTGTCGAACATGTTCCAAACTTTCCTCAGAATTAATAAAAAAAGGGTCGTGCTTAAATGATGGGTTTTTTAAAAACGCTTGCCCTCCCCTGAAATTCATGTCCAGAGGTATGCCTGCTGATAATTATTCAAATTCAATGATCTTACTTGGCAAAAAAAAATCAAAGAGCAACTTTTTCTCTTGTTCCTCCTTTTTCCCATAGTTCTTTGTGCGAATGATGAACATGTTGTCAGCTTTCCCGGCAGTGTACGAGATACTAGCCAGCAATCCACTGCCACGAAAGGATGCCTACTCACTCAGGGAAGCCCCTAATGATGTGCTGGTTAGTCACTGAAGCAACTTCAATTCACTGAATCCTGATTCTACCCCTATTTCACCTCCCCCCCCGAAAACAATTCCCAGTACCAATGTTGTGTTATCCCCAAAGGTGTGTTCCCTGATGTTGACTGTCACTGACTTTGTAAAAACCATAGAGAAAGACGACACACTTTTTTCCATTTTTGCTGTTATCTATTTTTGATTATTTACTTAGGTATGACCATTTTGATTCATGTTTCTCTGATAGGGTGTAATTGAGCGACTCATCATGGTGGATTCAGATGCTAAGATGAACTCTCTTTTCAACTATGAGCAGTCACACATCTTTGGGCTCCGGTAAGGCACCCAGTCACTCTTGTTGTTGAGACTGTTTAAGACCATCAGAAGACCCCACAAGACCAGCACAAGACCTCCAGTCTGAATTCAAGACACAAACTATTCAAAGGAACTGCAACAAAAGCATTCCTTTTTCCTTGTTATCCCTGTTACTTGTGACTTGTCTTGTGACTGGTCTTTTGTGACTAGTCTTGTGTTTGGTCTTGTGTCAGGTCTTGTGTCTAGTCTTGTGTCTGGTCTAGTGACTGGTCTTGTGACTGGTCTTGTGTCTGGTTTTGTGTCTGGTCTAGTGTCTGGTCTTGTGGCCAGTCTCGCAATGGTCATGACTGCAATAATTCATCCAATAGAGGCTTGATATTTACCATACACATGCATTTACATACTTGATGAGACTCTCATATGCCACTGATTAGATGAGTATGTGACCTGCAGAGCAATGTTACTTGGGGATAGGTGCAGGATAAAGGCAGTGGGAACATGTCTTTTTTGCCTCTTGTGCATAAATTGTTTCAACCCAAAGCTCTGAGGGCATTTTGCTTGGATTTCTCTCAAATTCTCCATTGCACAGGAACCCAGTGGTACATTTTCTGTTTAAGTTTCTTGCGGCATCATGCCCCTATCAGAAAGTCGCAGTGGCTGGTCTGCATCTTTCTCAAATCCTCTGGAGATTTTGTAGGATTTGAGAGGGTGAGAGGGAGACAGGTGGCATTGAGATTCTAGAAACCGCTACCGGGGATTCCCCACTAGGTGTTCTCCTCCCTATTTCTGTGAGAGATGGAAAGAATGACCTCTTTTGGGTCTGTCATCAGGCTTTTGACCGTGATGACGTCGTGCCTGGATTCACTTCTTTTGCTGGAGACTCAGTACCACATTTGGGACATGTTACTGCAGGGCCAAGAGAACAACCGCAACGGGTATGTTACTAATTTGGATTTAATTTCAATTTCATTTATTTATAAATAAAGCACAAAGTTCATACAGTTGATGTTCAGATGCGCTGTATAATGAAGACATTAAGTGTGGTTGAGCGAATGGCATACAAGGGCGCGCGCCTCAGGCAGCCGTCAAACGACCCACGTCCACCTACATCTACAGAGAGGAGACAATAAGAAGCAGTTACAGTTTCTTAGGTGGGAGGAAAGGCCTGAGAGAAGAAAATTCTGGGTAAAACCTGCGGAATCAGGTAGGGACTGAAAGCCCAATCCACACGTGGACTGAGCCGGGAATCGAACCCGGGACCACAGAGGTGGAAGGCGAGGAAAGAACTACATCGCCAACCTGACTCCTGTAGGAGATAATAAGCTATTGTATATGAGCCGTGATGCAGCAAAAAAAAAGGATGTGGCGCCAAAGTAGGGTTAGAGTGACGTGACGATAATCTGGTCATTTGTGTCTCACCATCGTCTCGATTTCACCCTTTCATTCAGAGAATCAGTCATCATGATCGACGTGTTGTCCATCGAGCGCAATCACATCCTAGTACGGACCAACGTGATAGGAGGACCGAGCGAGCGAGCCCTGCCGCCCCATGACCTGCTGTCAGATAGCAGCAACCCTTACCCCTGGCCCCTCTTCTCTGCCTTCCCAGTGCCCAGGGATTACACCCTGAGTGTGCCTAGATCCCCCAGCATCAAGCAAGGTAAAAGTCAGGCTAAGAGACAGGGGTGGATCGTTTGCAGTCGCAAATGGACTATACATGTCAGTTACAGGTCAGATCACAGTTCAATCGCAAGCCGGTCCTAAGCCATCACAAACCAGTCCCAAGCCATCACAAACCAGTCCCAAGCCATCACAAACCAGTCCCAAGCCATCACAAACCAGTCCCAAGCCATCACAAACCAGTCCCAAGCCAGTCCCAAGCCATCACAAACCCGTCCCAAGCCAGTCCCAAGCCATCACAAACCAGTCCCAAGCCATCACAAGTCATCATAAGTCTGTCACAAGTCGATCAGAATCAATCCAAGTTCAGTACAAGCCATGTCACTGGGGGGGCTGTCCATGCACTGTGCCTGTAGGAAGATAATTTGAAAAAAAGTTACGTGCTGTGTAACAGGTAAAAATGGCACACTATGGGGAACTCGTCAAACAACAAAAATTCTAACTCAACCAAGGATCTTTGAGGGAAAAGTCGCAGGAAACTGAATTAACCACTTCCTGCTGGGGCAGTTATCAATGTTGATGATGCTGGGCTGGGGATATTTATCATTTTTGTTTTGTTTTCAAAAATCTTTAAAAATTCCTATCTTAATTTACTAGACACTTACAAACACGTGAAGGACTGTCTGGTGGCCCCTCTAGCCTGACAGACAAAATCTATTGATGCCCGATTCTCCATACAGAAATAAGAACAGTAAAATCTCGCCGCAGACAGAAACCTGACTTAAGCACAAACACACATTCCATCCAGTGAGGAGGACTAGGAACAAATGAACAGTGATAGTGTCTCTGCTGGTTTGCTCTTCAAACTAAGTGGTCAGATCATGGGGGTCAAGTTATAATATCGGTAGAAGCAAGGGCCCAAGTAGATAAACAGGGGGATACACTAACAGAAAATACAGGGGAACTCTAAAACAAAAACTGTATTTGTAGAGGGGAACTACTCCTACGATAAGACACTTACAAAAAAACCCCAATTTCTAGCTCATGTTTTGTTGGCCTTTACTCACCATGTTACAGAGAATGAACTGAGCAAGTTATTGAGCAGCAACATTCCGGTAAAGACGACGTCGGAGGCGCAGACGTGGCTGGCAAAATGCCAGAATGCCTTCATAACCTGCTTGTCCAAGAAACCGCAGACGGTGTCCAACAGATGTAAGATGTGGCCTATCCCTTGCCCGCTGTACTTAATAGGAAAAATCCTCTGGCAAGAGACAAATTATGCAGCTGTGAATGTAATACTTTGGGATCACGGTTTTTTCATGCACAGTTGTCCCAACTGATTTCATTAAGAATGAATAACGTGGTATTACATTTTCTTTAATATTTATCTGGGAAAGTGTCGATCTATCTACAAAAACATTTCACAAGGTAGAAATTTTCTTTCTGAGATTTTGCAGTCCTCAAGAAAGCTGAGAGGGAGGCCATAGCAAAACTGGAAATAGTATGCTTTTTTGTTCAGCGACCTCTACAAAATCATTCACTTTTTATTCAACAACTTTGACCAATGTTTAACAATGTGAAGCTATGAACAGAAGAATTTTAAATGGCCCGAATATAAAAAGCCAATAGGTTTTAAGATGATTTTTTCAACACATAGCACTTTTACAATCTTAGTGGTTTTTCGCAGACTTGAAAAACATGAACGTAATCAAGCACGACATCGTGGTCCTGTTTTTTTTCATCCCCAAACTAGTGCTGGCTGAATTGCTGGACCAAACCATCAGCAACCAGCTCCTCATCTCTGGGACCGAGGTGTTCCAACTGAAGCCCTGCAAAGTCTCAGACAGTGCCCTCAAGGGTCAGAAATTGCCAGCCCTGCACATGCTGGGCATCAAGCTGGCAGTCAGGTTGGTCGCCGTTTACTCTGCTAGCCATTTTTTTTTTTACAAATGTCCAGCCTTCTCTGTGGCAAAGGTTCCAGGTTCAAGCCTCTTGACTGTCAACCCCCCCTGACTTGGGCTACCTCAGCTCAATATGGGTCTAATTCTTCAAGATAATGGTCCAATGATGTAATTTGAGGAGAAATAAACATTAATTTTGCGTTGCAATTTTTGGGGACATCCCGTATATTTACAAATTATTTGTGAAATCTGTGACTGCCCGTACATCTGAAATGTTTCAGCATCTGCTTTTTTTTTTTGAAAGATACGGCCAGCATCTGAAGTTGCTAAGCAACAGCAACGACATGACAGACAACCTGAGCCTTCTTCTGAAGACTTGCCGCCACTACCTGGCCAGCCAGCAACGAAGTATTCACTCCAACATGCGTATCCTTCCAAGAAAGAGCGGTTTGTGTATATCGTGACACAAATTATAGATGTCAATTATAGATGAAGTGGAGTAAAGTTCCCAGGAGAGATTTTTAATTTGTTGTTTAAAAGCATTGCTTTTTCACCGTGATGATTTCTGTTCCTTAGCCAGTCTTATTTTCAAAGGTTGCTTGGAAGGCGACTACATCGGTCACGACTGGTTTGCATCCACCATATTCCTGCTGATGGCTGGTAACCGTGACAAGGCGTGGAACCTACTACACAAGTGCTTCTCCATCTTGCCGTCGGGTTACTTGAGTATGGCTCGCCTTCATGCCTCGGTGAGCAGATGTCAGAACCTCCAAATTACAATTGGGTTACAAATTGTAAAATGCAGTAACATTTTCTCAAAATGGCTGTAGCCTTAGCCAAAGCCATGGCCGTTAGCTGTAACCACAAAATACCTGATTTGGACTTTGCCTTAGATTGCAACATTTCCTTCCTTATGGGCTGTTCATTTGAAGCTTTTCAGGAGTTCATGTGTGACTGCTACATGGATACTGCAGAATGCACCGAGTGCATCAGACACTAGACTTTGGAATATAGTGTATTAGTGACATTTTAGACTGTGCGCCCTGGGGTCAGCACTGGCCAAAATAGACATGTATATACGAGAACACAAAGCTCTCGACCTCAGAATTAAATGTGAGATGTCAAATTAAGAAAAAGAGCCTTTTAATAAATTGCACCCTGAAGTTCACAGAGTGCCCTCAAATACACAAAATGTGATGGACCACACCACCCCAAGCAAGGCAACACCAGTATCATTGTTCCGGCGTCCAACCGATCAACAGTTCAATATCTGTGGTGCACATCAATGCAGGTCCACATTCCCTACGAGGTTGCAGCCAGTGGCATCCATCCGGTGTCTTCGCGCACCAGTCACAACGTGGAGCTGATCCTACAGAGCGAAGTGCCTCACGTCTACTCGGCATTTCGGATGTCTGGTTACACTCCCTCCCAGGTGACAAACTAATTCAGTCCAGTCTCGGTGACAACTCCACAGGGAATCGAAGCGACCTGAGGAATTCTTGTGTTAAATTAATGACATGAATCAAGAAATCTGTTCTGTGGAGCATGAGGTCCATTATCAACTTCAAAAGCTTACCCTGTTTTAATAAGTTGTTCTTTTTGAAAGGTCCTCCACTTACTGAGTACGTTTCAGTGTAAATTACCTGACTGTTTTCAGTTTGCAAGTTTTGTACGTGCACGGTGAGTACCACTAGTACAGAAAGGCTTTTAACATCGGTTTCTACACAAGATGAAGAAAATCGCTTTATAATGTCTGCTGTGTTACATTAAAAGGGCAAACGTGTCGCCTTCGACCCACATTCATACGTCAAGACCCCGCCCCCAACTCCATCCCACTCCTCTCCCAAGAAGCAAGTTGGATTCTGTTGTTTCATGATGATGTACGAATGCATTGTTTGACCCCCCCTCACCTCTGATCCAGATTTGTCAGCAGTGGCTGCGGCAGTGTTTCTGGAACTACCTGGACTGGCCTGACATCAGTCACTACATCGCGCTGTGTATCGTCATGGGGGCAGACTACCAGGTGTACATGTGTGTGGCTGTGCTGATGTTCTTGCAGCATAAGATCCTGCTGCACACTCAGAGACAGGAGCTGCAGGTCTTCTTGAAGGTGAGCCTACTTGGCCGAGAGCCGAGTCGTCTTTGAGTTAATTGCTAGTCGGGTACATGATAAAATTGCAATTGTCGCAGGTGAGATCACAAGTCAACCACAAGTTAGTTCCAGAGTCAGTCACAAGCCAATCACAGGTCCATCACAAGTCAGTGGAGAGTCAGCTACGTTGAGGTCACATGTCAATCATAAGTCAAATCTCATGCAACTAAGGTCTGAGGACTGGCTTGGTAACAAGTCATTATAGTCCCCTGCGACTTGACTTTAGATGATTCAGGATGTGTCCTGCAGTGACATCATTATGCAACCCTTACCGTCATCGCAGGCATGCAACTTTTCCTCGGATCATCCGATTTCCTTTTTTATCACTTCACACTCTTTCCATTGAAAATTGAAACATCGTGTACAAAGTCAGGTCAGGAAAGATTGGAATTTTTTGTCCAAGTTGCGTACGTTCAGGTCAAGGTATTCTTCCGAGCACACCAACCGAAATGTTGATTTTACACCTCAAGCTCTCATCCCAATCACTGCACCTTTTACAGCACCGTGTATCCACAAATGATTTCCTAGTCCTTCTGTTACCGTTTATATCACTGGCATGTGTCTGTCGTCATTCCATCACAGGAGAACAGCATTCATGGTTTCCACGTCGGAGAACACCTTGACTACATGCAGGGCCTTGCTAAGAAGTATCGAAGCACTGTCTTACCGGACATGAGCAACCTCAGCCTACCCTGACCTCGTATGACCTCCTGACGTGCCGACGGTGTTGACAAACTTGAGCTGGCAGGGAATTTGGTGTTTGGACTCGGTGCAGATGTCATCCAAAGATGCAGGGAGATACCACAAAATGATTACGGCCATTTCTCTCCCGGTCAATTTTGTTTAAGTTTGAACGAGAAAGAACAGTCTGAGCTCTGTGTTTGGATGTATCCCTCATTTCGGCACCCCGATGGAAATGGACATTATGTGAGTTTATTCATATGTTTACATAAAACACTTTGCAATGCTCTGTTGAAGTCTTGCCTTGCGGTTTTGTTAGGTTGGGTCCCATTTTAGTGACCCATGTGGTTTGAATGCCATTGGCAGCGTGGATGTTACGCCCGGGTGCCAACATATAATAAAGGTTTTGAACAGCTCGTGCGCTCTTGGTGCCACATGCACGGTGCGTCTCCCATCGGACACTAATGCTCAGTAACAAAACGCCTTCTTTTGTGACAGCACCGAGGCAATAATCCTTAGTTGGGGCATTATATTCAAGTCAGTGGCACATTACACTGCATGCGACACGTAAGAAAACCGTACTAGTGTTATGTGTGTGGCACGTGCCTTATGCAAATATTACAGAGTTCATGAAAGTGCTCAGAAACAGGGATGTAAGATTTCATAAAAGATCGGTAATTTTATATTATTTGTAGTTGCCTCGTATGTTGGAGTACAAAGTAAATTATAGGAGAGCATTTAGGATTGTATTTTTACCTTCTTCTATTATTTGACAATATTTTCCACCCGCCAGCATCTAGATTCATGGTGTTGTCTCTGTTAATCTATAAAGTGATCAATATTTTACTGAAGCCTTTAGGTTTACTTAGGTTAACTGTTTGGTGAAGAGTTTTAATAGCAAACTGAAAATGTTCTAGATTTCTGTGTGTTTGTTAAAATTGTACAATTTTTAATGTCATAGAATACATTTCAAGTGATATGTTGATTTGGTGCCTTCTACAGAGACGCATCCAACTTTATACGTGTAGATATTCCTGTTTGTACATATGTGCAATATGTATATGTGATAAACAGACAACAGCTGGTTTGTGTGTCACATAATGCTCTGTGAAATTCTTTCAAGTAAGTTGAGTGCTTTTGTTAATGTGAGATCGGAATATGAAAAGTTATAACAAATCAAAAGAGTCGAACCTGGGGAAAGTGAGTTGTGAATGATATTGGAATTGGGACGTCATAGGGTTACTGGGCATGGAGTGCCCACAGTGGGATTATTACCAATGAATATCGGGGGTGGGATCAAAGGCGACGGGGGGGGGGGACATGAGGCAATTGCAACATTTTGCCCTCATTTTTTTAATTGAAGATACTAGCACTTGACATTCGGTACTGCTACCAATTACAGAATTTCCAATAAGTTGAATATACAGGGTTTGTGTGGCTGCCATGTTGCAGGCCAGTGCTTTGTTCGGCAGGGTATACATAAAGGAGGCTTCCGTGTCGAACAAAGGAACTTCCCAGCAAGATGGCTACCATGCAAAGCCTATGTAGGAGAAATTTTAAAAATCAGGAACTTTCACCTGCTCCCACATAAAGATCCTGGATACACAGGATGAGTTTCTAATTTTAGCTTTGAGAAATGTAATGGAGGGGGAATTGTGAACATTGGTAGAGGCACAACTGTCCACAATTGTGAAAGACGGGTTGTTAGTCTCCGTAGCTGAAAAATGCCACCTTCCATAAGGTTCATCCTCTTAGGCAGTCACCAAAGACTCTTACAAGTAACAAAAACAGTCAAATTCATTTGATATTTTACTGTAAATATGAGTTTTATTATTCGCCCTTTAATTGCCAATTTGAAAAAAAAAATCATATTAAACATAGCATGGCAAATGCTACCTAAAGTTTGGTTGATTCTTGGCAGGTGGTGGCATATACAGAACGCAAGCTAGCAGGGTAAATTGAATTTGTAGGCCGTTTTCTATTTTTTTTTTCTTAGGAGAGGCACAGAGAGGGAAGTGTGCAAGGGTGGGAGGTGGGATATATGCAAAGCGTATTACGCCTCCATGCAGTACTGACTTCCAATTAAAGTATTCTCCTGCTTTTTACAAAACTCGTTTTGACAGGGAACTAGAGCAATACCCCTTTTAAACGTGCCAAGAATTTGAGAAATGTACAATTTGTTGGCCACATCATAACCTGTTAAGAAAGAAAAAAACTGATATAGCATGATGAAAAACTTAATTTTTTTATTGATGAGAAAAAGGTAACTCTAAACAATTTTATTTCACCAGGAAGTTTTATTTCTTGTCATTCTTCGAGATAACGAGTCCAAAGACCACATGTACTCTAAAGCACCGAGGGGCAAAAATATGCAATTGTACAATTGAGCTCTTGTATATATAGAGAACTGATCAAGACCCCAAATATTTTGTGGCATTTTCCGAATTACTTGGACAAACTCCGCCTCCACTGATTCTTCTTGTCAGTCTGATCATCGCTGCTATGAGTATGAAAGCATTTCTATCCAATTCATACATCCTGAACGTCACCATTTACAAGTAATTCACTAACTCATGGCCTCACTTCCAATGAGCTAATTTGGCATTTCAGAAAGGCAAGGTTATGTGGGAACGAATCGCGCACGTGGGCCTGCGTAAGGCCGCTCTGATGGAGCAGATGTCACACGCGTGTCGGAATGACCTCTTACGTGTTTCATTTTGGACAGGCAATGTTGACATACCGAGTTTGCTTGTCCTGCTTCTGTTTGAACAAAACTACTTTCAAAATAATACATTTTACATCCATACATTTGACTAAAATATTGAGTTGCTTGTAACTAAGTTCCAGAATTCCATCTGTCTGACATGATTAATTTAAAAATTATACAGGCGCTTGGCAAGATTTTCTTTTCATCATGATCTGCATTTCTATCCAGCCAAAACTGGAGCCAATTTTAAAATCAGAAAATGAGAAAGAAATAAAACTTCATGTTTTTTTTCAGGAACCGTTATTACCCCTTGCTCCCAAACAGACATCTAAGAACTATGAGTCTGTTTAGGGTCTGGCAAACACCTGTTCCTACAGACACGGTATGAATCTCAGGATTCAACTTGCAATGAATTGTTCAAGTCTCTTCCTTCACGTGTTTGGTATATACAAAACAGGCTGGTGCTGTACTGAATTCACAACGTTTGATTTTCAGCACATCTGAGCGAGTCAAAATTAATGTCAGTTTTTGCAGACAAAGCACAGTGTGTTCTAAATAAAGCACGAATTAAACTCTCTTTGAATTGAGCCATTAAACCTTTCACAGAGAGTGCAGTCTTAGGTCAACGTTTGCAATTCGGTGAAAGAGGACTTAACAGCAACTGCAGACTCTACCAAAGCGTGTTGGTATGAATCTTGGCGGGGATTTATCCCTCTTTCAATCAAATGAGTAAACATTCATTTGTTCAGGGCAAATGACAAGAGGCATCTTGGAAACTATTCTACAGAGAGCCAAATGCAAAAATCTGAATTTTGATCGCATTTTATCAGAGACACCGTCTCAGTTATTCCAAAGCGTATTGGCACATGCTCACGAGCTGAGAGGACTCATATGACACTTTATACCTTGCTATAATTAAGGTTCAGAAAAAACCCTCTCCATTTTGGCCGTTGTGTATCTCCTTGGCCGATTCTCCAAACCTTAGAAATGCACTCATAATACACATGAACATTTGTTATTCCTCTCCGTGAACTTTCTTGACGTCTTACACAGTTTGCACTCAATTTTTTTTTTGTTAAGCCCATTTATCTGCACTCTCGTCACCCATGCAGAGTGGCACAGAATCAGTCTTCAGCCAGTTTCAGAACGTACCCAAGCGACGTCTGTAGCGTTGTCAAGCAGTAACCCTCCTCACCAAACAGGTATCTGACCGGACAGACAGAGAAAGAGAAAGGTGATATGTTTGTATTCTGTGGACGAGACAGCAAACACTATAGTCTGGTGTCGCCACTCCTGAATCCATTGTATAGTGAACAAAGCGGTCTAGTTTCGATGTACTTCACACTTCAAGAGACACCAAGCCTCATGATCAAAAGACATGACTCGCACCCTGCTTGTGAATTTGGAAGCTTCTGGGTTTATTGTCAACGGCAACACCTTGCCATCAAATAACACTAACTGAATAGTGACATCTTGTGGCTGCCTGCATTCTTCGTCACACAGTGCTACTGCTGTCAACACCACACCTGCAGCGACAGAGCTGGCATCGTCATGAACAGCCTTGAAGGACAACTTGTCTTTCAAGGCTCCTCATTCTGATACTTGTCACAAGTATTCGTTGTCCTGGCTGCACTCAAATTGTTAATCCAACCGTCTCCGACAGATCAAAGGATTCGGTTCTCACCCCTCATGGATGAACTCCTCCATGATGCTGCACTCTGACACTATGTGAGGAAGAGCCGATTTGATGACAACAAAACTCAGGATGGGCAACAGGTCATCGCAGCCTCTGTAAATACAAAAGGCATACAGATGTAAGACACCTCATCTTGCACTAAAATCTTAGTATTTTTGTTATCAATAAACTAAAAGGACAAACAATAGCAGACACCTGTTCCTCCCCTTCGCCTTGGCCCAAGCTGGGATCTTTCCCCGATTACAAATCTGCAAATACAGCTTCGACAAAGCTTCGACAGCTGCCCCATTACGCTTTCACAAAACACCACCAGACATTTCTGACCGCATCGTCTTTACCGGGTAAATGCACTACTTTTTCTAGAGAAGAAACACCAAAAATATTCAGTGAAGGTACTGTTGTGATAAAAATGACTTTTCCAGTATCGTTTTCCTTTAATAATTGTTTTTCTCCTAAATTACTAAAAATAATTCAAGATAAAACGGTTTGCTCAATAAAAAAGGCATGCACTTTCGGAAAGTCTGTGATTGGTCATTACAAAACTATATTGTGGGGCAAACTGTGAAAATCACAGGCAGTCTATCTTCCAAATAATCTTTCTCATAATTCAGTCTTACAAATGTGAAAGAAAAACGTACACAGCATTCTCAGTGTTTTCCCTCGATGTGCCCTGGGCTTCGTAGTAGTCACCAACACAGGTAATGATCGCCCGAGAGGCTTTAACTGAAAAAAAAACCAAAGAAATGAAAAAAAAACCAGTCTAGAATAGTTATAGGAATTACATGTAGAATGCAGCACGTACAGGAATACCAACAGAAAGTGTACTCAAAATGTCAAACGATTTGAAATAGGATCTTGGCTCCGGTCTGTGTCCAAAGCCGTTTGAAATCAAATACATTTCTTACAAATGATGCCAGCCCATGTGCAAAATCACTTATTTCCTGATCATTCAAAAAACACAATCAACACAGTTTAGTCCAATGTAAATATTGTACATGTACACTGTAGGTTAGATTCCTCCACATATCACCTTTTCATTTGGGACACTTGAGGATGCCCCAAAGGATACACCTGCTCATCAATTGCTTTTTACAACTCACCTATGCACTCCAGTTTCTCCAGTGGACTGAAGTAACCAGTGATCCTCCTCAGTTCTTCCACGGCCAGTTGGTACGGGTACCGGTCACCTTCATGTGGGGCGCCATCGTCGTCTTCCGATGTCAGGCACAGTTTCTTGATGATGCCGATGTTCTCCGGCAGGGCGTGCTGGTACTTGGTCATGGCCGTCGCGGCCGAGATCTCTTTCCTCAAGTTGGCTCGTCTGGAAGAGGGGGACACCAATTTTAACAATGGCTTTGCAGACTAAGTCAAAGAGAAGCATTATGAGCAATATTTCTCTGATTATAGTTTTAGGTATGTCAAAATCAATTTAAACCTGTCTAATCACCCAATTTCCATTTGAGTGAACAGTGCTCTTTCAGTATTATTCCCCATATACCACATGGGTCATGCTATAAATTTGGGGTCCGAAAGCACTAAGCAATCCAGCAGTGTTTCTTGAACAGTGTTTTTCTGCAACCATGTTGGAATGAGGTTGGTTCCCAATTTCTGCATTCAATTACCAGTAGCTGAATTTTTCCAGAGAACTCCCGCTGTTTCCCTCTTCACACTTCAAGTCATGATTCTTCCAAAAAATTTTTAAAATTCCACATTTTCCAAGATTCCTTCAGAGAACCTAAACGTGATTTCTTCTTTGACGGAATATTTTCAGGCTACATGAAGGGGAAGGGCAGGGGGGGTAGTACTAATTACCTGAAGAGTGTGAGTAGGGGTCGCCATATGAGATGGAAGAAGTGTTTCTCAATGACAGCGATGCATTGCTCCTTGGCCACGGCGGAGTCTAACTCCTCGTATATTGCCACTAGAAGACCCTGTAGCCTGTCTAGAAACCACACAGGCCGGCTAGATTTGAATCTTATGAACTTGGGAGTTTTAGCGTGACTTCATAAACAGGTGTTACATATTTAAAACTGACATTAACAAATGTTCCCTTGTCAAGCAAGCATGAAGGAAAAAAACATTGCTATAACACAGACAGCTCTCACTGTGGCGAGGACGCAGGGACCAGTCATGAGTATTGTGTTTTTAACCTTACTAATAATACAAAAGGATTGGAAAATGACTTTAAATCCAAAGTCCCTGTACGACCAGCCTTGGACAAGCCAAGAATAATTAATGGGATTTCATATTTGTGAATAATGAGGGGTAGTCTTTTTAAATTTGACACAATCAAGACAACAGAGTCTCCATCTCCAATCTTGGCAATGTTTCTGGCCTCAAAACGCACATGTACTAAAAGCCTTCAATATCCACACCAACTGAGTAGACTCCCATCCTTGGCTTCACGGTTCAATATTTGTTCCTATTTTACCCACTCAACCCACCTAATACATGTAGGTGCAAAAGACCAAGTCAGAGATGAAAACAAGATTTCAGACGGAGTCTATGGTGTGACACTGACCAGGATTTGACAAATCAATCTTACCCAGGTAGGACTGGATATCCTTGGAGATGTGTTTGAGATGCCTCTGCAAGGCATCCTCTTGAAGCTTGGCAATCTTTTCTTGCTCCTCCATCTCCTTGCCAGACTGCTTTGCCTCTCCTGCTTCTTCACTCTCGTTATCTCCTCCCTGTCCTTTGGCGTCCTGCTCTGGAGCATCTTCAGTGGCAGCGCTTTCAGGCACGTCGTCTTCGTCTTTCTTTACATCTTCACCATCTCCGGCACTCTTCTTGGCTTGCTCTAAGTTACTAGGTGCACTCTCCTCTGCATCGTGTCCTGAATCGGGTCCGTTATCGTTTTTCTCCATTTCTCCAAGGATGCCGTTGCTTTCTCCGTCACCTCCTTCATGAGCTGACGGGGGTATTGTTTTTTGGCCACCCTCTGAATTTCCATCAGCATCTTGAGTCTCACCTGGAATCTCTCCGGGGTCACTGTCTCCATTCAAGGGGGCCATTCCATCTGCCGTGTCCTGTTCAATCTGTGTTTCCAAGTGCTGTCTCAGCTCCTCCCCTTCTGCTAGCGCTTCTTGGAGATCCTCCTGGACCTCTGTGCTGATTGTCTTCATCCGCCCGATGACATCATCCTCTTCTCCAATCTCCTCTTCATCAATCTCCACAGCAGGGATTTCAGCTTCTCCTTCATTGGACATGCTGCTCCCATGTCCTTCCAACCGATCACCACTTTCATCAACAGAGGGCTCACGTTCGTCAACAGCAGCCTCTCCAGGTCTTCCCGCATCGTTGCGCCTATCTTTGTCCCCGTGGTGACTGATCTGTGAAGCATCCTGGTTGTCACACAGCTCAGCGTCGACAGACACCTGGCTCTTGACAGAGGCGCTGTCCGAGTTCACCGACGTCCCTCCACCTCCCCCAACCTCTTCTGACTCCGTCCCAATCCCATCCTCCAAGGTGTTGTCGCCTTCGCTCAGCTCATCCCACAAGTCGTCTTCCTCGTCTTCGTCCAGAGAGGAAGATGAGGCCAGCATGTCCCCATACAGGGATTCCCTCTTCTCGTCATCGCTGGAGTTCCTCAGGGCGTGTAAGCGTCGCATCAAGTCCTCGTCCAGACTTTTGTCCATCAAGTCTCCCGGGGTCGCAAAGCCATCAGGGGGAATGACTTTCCTCTTGGAGCCTGTCGATTCAAAAGTGGAACAAAAATCTCAACTAGAGAGGTACAGAAAGGTACTGTCTGTGGGTGAATCATGGAAGCAATCCACTTCAGGAGAAAGTTTTAGTTCTGGGAGGAGCAGGTGGCAGTGAGAAAAGGTCTCAATGTTTCAAACAGTGTACTTTGTTCGTCTTCAGGAAATTACTAGACTGGCATGAATACGGCTGGTCATGCGGTTGCTTGAGTTATTCGTCATAAATGCTGCACTCTTGGCAGAAATCTCCAACCATGCTACATTGTAGTTTTCTATTTCTCATCGGCATACCCTGTGTTGTGTACTGTCTTGAGCATCCTGCGATGCTCTTCAAATCTCTGTTCATTTCACGGGTTCTGATATTAGTTGTCTGAAAAGTAAAGACGTGGATGACATGCAAGACACAGTATTGGCAGATGTACAAATGCATGCCTGCCTGTTCAACAGCTTTTTTTAACTCAGTGCCTGGGCTTCATGCAGGTCACTGTCACACGGGGGGGGGGGGCTTTTATGACACATCAGTGACATCATCGACCCCCTAAGGCTGTCAACTGTCTGGGGCTTGGGTCGATGACATCACTCGCTGACACCATGCCAAGTTGTGTCAGACAGTACCACTGGTGGGATTAGGTGTGTGGTCATTGCCCCGAACATGGTTACAGGATAAAAAATGCAACATCACTGAAATGGAATCAGTAAAGGGGTCGATAACAGCTATAAGTATGATGTCTGTTTATGTCTCACATGATGAAAATATTCTGAGTACAACCAAGGTTAATATCTAAATCCAAAATGTTATGCTTGAGCTCTTTCCAAAATGACACTGAACGTCTCCAACTGTATGG